ATCTAAAAATGATTTTCAAGCCACTAAAAAATATATGTACATAAAAAGTTTACCAAATTTGAGTTGAAATGAAATTTATATTTGTCAGCAAATTTTCAAACTGCTCTCGATGTAAATGCTTTATTAGCATACAATATCCATCAATCAGAGAGAACAATCCCTGATTGTATATTGGTATTTGTATTACCTGTCAATAGCTCAGCTGTCTTGTATAATTCATTGGCTAAATTCACTCACGTGTCACGTGCTCATCTCTAGCTGCAGCCATTCAATCATTTCAACGTCACATTTCGAGCGCTCCCCATTTGGGGCGCCCTATTGGCCTTGATCAATGCATTTTATGCACAGATTGTTTAACAATGGCAACTACAACAACAACAACAACAACGACGACAAATAACTTGCTTAACAACAAATAGTAGATAATTTGATGAGCTGTTCCCTCTGTGCCCCCACTGTAGCCCCTCTCTCCTCTGCCTGAGCCGCGTGCACACCTTAAATGGCAAATTAAAAAAAAAAAAAAAATTAAATACTGCTGCGCATTAAATTTGCACAATTTTCATCAAGTTTTTCACATTTTTTTCGTGTCGCTGACTCATTGAGCAAATGAGCGACACAAATTTTTATAGCTGCCAACTTTTGGCGGCTGATTCCCTGCCCGCAGCACGTGATGTCGCTTGACGCGGCGCATTAACAAATCTGGGCAAATTTTTAATAATTTCCATTGCCTTTGTGTTTGTTTATATATTTAATATTTATTGCCTTTGGCTCGTCTTCGGACGGCCTGTTTAATCAATAAATTTGTCTGCAAGCTTGCATGTCAATGCATTTTCGAATGTCCTTTTCTTGTTGCTTTCAGCTATGACGCTGCACTGTGGGCTAAAAACTGTTAAAGTTTGCCAAAAATTAATTTATATCTACATTAAAATATGTAAAACACTTTGCCTGAATCGCAGTTTGAGTCAGGAAAATATTTTATGGCAATGCGACTTTTAGCAATAAAATAGATAATTAGCCCACTGTAGCGCACTAGATTGCAGTTAGTTTAATGTACGTAATATAATTCGTTATTTATTTTCTCTCTCTCTTTTTCTCTCTCTGTTCTTCTCACTGAGCAATTCTAGCCCACTTTTCGAATTATTAGGCTAATGCCATTCGTCCATAGCTAGATGTTTCAATATAGTATGCGCCTGGCTTTTCAGCATGCCGAGCGAATTTTCACACTTATTTAAGAATTTTGAAAAATCTTTTTTGAGAATTTCCCATTCTATGTGAAATAAGGCCAACAGTAAATGAAATGAGCCAATTATAGTCACGTATATACGAATGCT